AATGACCTATGAAAATTTTATAATTATTTTTATAACCAGATCAGTTTTCTTTCAACCATTGAAAAGTTGGGTGAAAGAGAAATTTGAACTTCAATATCAAATACATCAAGATACAACAACAACAATAACAAGCCTTTATCCACAATGTGGGATTGACTACATAAATCTTTTTTTCTATCGTGTCCTATTAAAAGTCAAATTCTCATTTAAATCTAATAAAAAATGTCATTTTTAATACTTTCTAACCAATCTTTTTAGGTCTGCTTTTACCTTTATTAACATGGGTCAAATTTGATACATCAACTCTCCTAACAAGGTCATTGAAAAGCAGACTTTTTATGTAACCAAACCATCTAAGGTGACTATCTCTAAAATCTTATCTAACACTAGAGCTACACCAACCTTTTCGTGAATACTCGTTTCGCATTCTGTCTCTATTGACCCATACATTCAAAAACACACAAAAGAAGCAAAAATTAGCGACTTAACTAACGGTCAATAGGCGCAAAACGACACTTGAATGGTCAAAATACCTCCGATAGCCAAACTGACTACGCCGTTGCGATCGAAGCGTCAAATTCGCCTCAGAGTGTGCACCTTGCAATCAAATCGAGCGAAAACGGTCAAAATTGGCGATCGACACCCAAAATTGATGCGCGACACTGCCCAAACGACATCCGGTTGCGAAATGAACTTCTCTGTTTCGTTCGAAACATCGACATACCGAAAATCGACTGTAATTTCGCTCAATGAATGTGCGAGGAAATCGATGTCGATCTCATGGCAAAATGCATAGATTTCGAGGCAACATCACGCAATTCAAGATGATGACGCATAAATCAAGGCAAAATCATCTTTTAATTTTCTGTCATTTAATAATAATTATGATAATAATATGACTATATTTTATTATTATCAATTAATAATTTAGATTAAAATAAAAAAGGAAAAAAATCATCATACTTATTATCCTGCAGTCGGCTGCCCCTTATCCTGCTCAAATCGTCGTAACCTATCCCGATTTGGGTCTCATCTCTCTGTCGGATATCCCGCTCAAATCCTACGTAAATCCCTCGCCTCGATCATCACATGCTCGCATTAAAACGAACACAAAGAGAGACTTCATTCATTTTTTTCGACAATAGTTCCCACACACGAGCTTCCAATTCTTCTCCCAGATTCCGACTCCCGCTTCTGCCTCTTCGATTCCAGCCTCCCATCTGAACTGCACATAGCCGCGTATCCAACTACTTAACCCAACGCCTGATCTCGTCTCTACCGCAAGCCCCCGTGTTCGAGTCCTTCCTCACGTCTGATCTATGCTCAACTGACTCCTATTCGGCCCGAACCTCACATTACACAGCCCCAATCCCTGCCTCTCCGTTCCAGCCACACGCCTGAGCCCAAACCGCAAATAGCTGCAAGCTCCAAGCACCGCACCCTCACATGAAGTTGTTCGCCAACCTCCTGTGTCGTTTGATCAACTTCAACCTCAAAATCCAGCCGCATCACTCTCAAGCCCTACACTTCTCTTCTCCCGTCACTGTGTCGACCGCTCTGTAAGTGAAATCAACCTGATCAAGCTTTCAATAGCGGCGGCTCGACCTAAATCGACCCTTCTGCGATTTCCTCTTACACCTGTCATACTGCTTGCATCTGATCTTGAACAACTATGCCGAGCCGACCAATCGAGATCCATACCCAGACATCCGACTTATGCAAGCCTCTAACCTTGTCTGCTGAAGTCGATCCTCTCATGCACCTCCCCCTACCCTTGTCTGCTGAAGTCGATCCTCTCTTGCACCTCCCGCTGCATTTGGTCGCCAATAGAAATACGACATCTGTTAGGCGTTTTTTTAATTTAATATATTTGCTTTATGTCTTGTCAGAGTGAGCGACCCGCCTCGATAACTCAGTTCATTTGAATTCCGGAAAATAAAAAATGGAAACGCCATGTATTTTATTTTCAAGCGACATTTTCACTGCTACTCCACCTCTGGTAAACGCTCTCGGATTCCTCCAATACCATCGGTTATGCAATAGCTTCTTCCCGCCGGAGGTAGAAGACGAGATTGTAGAAGATCATCAATCAGGAAGAGGTATGGTTGCGCCTAACTTGCGCTTTACTTGCGCTTAAGTTATATGTTAAATTTTAGGGTTTGGTTTAGTTATAATTTTACCATTGTTTGTTTAATGTAATGTAATGTTCAAATGTTTATTTTCTGATTTTTCAAGCTTCTTCTCTTCGTAAATGGATGAAACAAATGATACGAAAGGTTTACGCTTTATGTTAAATTTTAGGGTTTAGTAATAATTGTATAACTAGCATATATGTTCAATGTGATGTTCAATTATTTTTTTTTTCTGAATTTCAACATTCTTTAAAGCTAAATAATTACGAAATGTATAGTTGCGCTTTTATCTGATTTTTTTATTTTTATAGATGAGGATGCTGTATCAAAGGCCAGTAACATCTAGATGCTATGTTACATCTTTCGGAAATATTGTGATGCTTTTGTCGAGATTATTGATGATGAAGTAGAGCAAACATTAAAGAATCTGAACATTCATCAATTTTTTAAGTTCCCCGCATTCCAGCAGTGTATACTACTTCTTTTTGAGGTTCTCAAATTATGGAGTCCTGCTGATGAAGGCTTCATCGTCCTTGGTCATTTACTGAAATTCACTTCTGACGATGCTGCCTTGTTGATAGGTAATATTTTGAATATATAATTTTTTATACGGATATGTTTTTTTAACTTTAACAACTGAAATTTTCTGACAGGTTTGCCTAATAGAGGCATTGATATCAAATGGAGGATTGATCCTCTAAATGGACCTCTAACAACTGAAATTAAAATAGAAATGTCATTATTAGACAGATTAACTGATAATGCTACAAAAATAAAGACCTTTATTATGTTTTTGTTATCTAACATTTTCTTTCCACTAAACAACTATAAAACCCCTAGAAGGCTCACATCTGTTGCAAATAATTTAAGTGAGTTCACTTCCATTAATTGGGCTTCATGCATAAGGAACTTCATGGTCGGGGAATTCAACACAATTTTTGAGAAGTTTCAAATGCAAAGATCATTGGGTTACATCAATAATTTTTTTCCTCTTCTACTGGTAAGTTTCTACTCCTACTGGTTATTCTCCATCTATAATGCTTTTTAATGTTAACTTTTAATTTTTTATGTTTGGCATTATACAGATTTGGTTTTTGGAACATTTTTCTTTGAATAAACCATCCAATCCTGAAATAAGACCGCGTTTTTGAATATGGGAGGGGTATACTGAATTATTCTTTACTCAAGAGAATGCAGCAAAATTATTTAAATTTTTAAAGAAAAATGAGGTAATTTTTTTGTGTACATGATGCAAATTATGCTATGGTTGTGCTTTTATTGCGCTTTAGGAAAATAATACATTTTTTGTTTTTGCAGATTTATGTTTGTCTTGAGAATGTTAGTAATGAAGAAGGCGAAAAATACGGGGCTGACATTAATGCTATACAAAACATGAAAACCCGGGCAGGGCATGAACCACAGAAATTGCAATCACCCCAGAAAATTAAGTCATCCGCAAGGAAACAAAATTCACACCACCCCACCTCCCTCTCCCCCTCTCTCTCCCCCTGATTCTCCTCATAATGAACCACCAGAAAGTTCACCTCCGCCGCCAACTCAACCTTCTACGCGTCCACCTACTGAAAAAATTTACATCACTCAACCTTCTGCTGAACAACCACCCATTGAAAGAAGTGTAGATTTAGAGGCTGTTGAGAAAAAATGTTTTGAAATATTTCAGAAGATGTTGAATAAAATTGAAGAGAATTTGGGAGCTAGGTTGGATCGTCTTGAAGATATTATGGAGAAACTTCAAGCAGATCAAGACTCTCTGAAGTACAAATTTATTGAATTTCAAATGAATTGTGATCACAATCCAGAGAAGCCGCCTATATCTAGTTCTTCCTCCTGCCTCCAATCAGTGAAAACTACAGCTATGCATCCTTCAGAACAACCTAAAGAAGATCTTCTTCCAGCTATTCCACAACCTCCCAAACATGTTCTTCCACAACCACCCATATAAGATGTTCCTCCACCTCCACCATTGGCCAAATAAGATCTTCTTCCATAACCACCCATGCAAAAAAGAAAAAGAGAAGATGATGAAAAAACAGAGAGTTCATCAAAGCACATCATACCATATGCAAAAAAGAATAACAAAGATGTTATCTATGTTGATAATATAAAAATTGAGCCACGACCTGCATTGCAAATTATGGATTATCCAGGGAAGCCTTTTCTAACAGAGCAGCAACAACATTTTATGAATGAATGTTTCAGAAAATTTGATAAAAAGTAAGTTTACTTGCGCTTTAGTTGCACTATGGTTGCGCTTTAGATGCGCTTTACTTGCGCTGTACTTGCACTTTAGTTACGCTTTACTTGCACTTTAGTTGCTCTTTAACATTATTTTTTTTGTAGAGACGACGTAATATTTGCATCTGGAAACATATAAATAAAAAGAGCAGATATTGACTTTCTGCTCACAAATGATTAGTTAGCATATAACCATGTTGATGTTTTTGCTTTCTTTTTACAAGAGCAGAGTAGGATAATAACACACAAATTTCAACGTTACTTGTATGTTTCTCCATTGTACAGGGTAAGTAAAAATAATATTTTAATCATTTTTTCATGTTTTTTTTTTCCTTATATAACTGAATTATTGCAGGTATACAAGTCATTCAATCAAGAATATCAAATTTGTATCAACCACATTAATCCTGTTTCTGTTAAAGAAAGCAAACTTATTGTTCAACCCATAATTTTCGAAAAGCATTGGGTTCTTCTTATAGGAAAATTGAGGGAGAAAGTCTGAAAAATGTATGATTCCTTACCAAATCCTTAACACAAGAATATTTGTTATACAATTGTAAGTGAAATCCATATTTTGAGTTAAATCCAGTCCTGATCATCATATTGAACATCTCATGCGAACATGCGGTCCTCAACTTGTAGATCTTTAAATAATTGAATCAAAGAATTAGTGTCACCAATTTCAATCCTTGCTCTTTTCTCCTTCTGAATAAAATTATAGGCATCCCTCTTAGAGAATCTGACATTCTCACATCCACCAACTTCCTCTGCAAGGTAGGCATATGCATCAACGGTTCTAATCCCCGCATCTGTCATCGATTTTAGGACGGAAGCTTTCTCCTCAACAACATTCCTACATGATCTCAAAAGGTGTCGGACGGCTGGGCTACCTAAATCATGGTTGTGGGATTCAATAAATCTTTTGACATGCCAGTAACCATCTTCATCTGTGACAAACCTCACCATGGCTGGACAACCAGTTTGGACATCTGGTCTAGAGAATCTCTTTCTTGAATTAAGATCATTATTTTTCTTGAAACCAGCTTTTGAACAAACAAAGTCCTTCGATTTTATCTTCCTAGAATTTGGCCAAAAACTATGATGATCCTTTCGGACGCTAAAGCCATTATCGTGAGCATAAGTGCAAAAACATTCATATGCTTCTGTCTCATCTTTATAAACAGCCTGAAAGAAACAGTAAAGC